GGCTGTGCTTTGATTTGAATGTTCTGTTCCCTGTAGGATGTCCTGTACCGCCGGTTTTTTATCCCAAACAAATCACACCGCAAACAAAACGACTCGCATGCACGGCCCCGACAATGACACAAAGAATCAGACAGAAACACTTTTCAAATGAGCCTCGAAAGGAACATCAGATGAGTCCACGGAGTTGAAAATGTGCACCTTTGAGGCTTGAATGTGACCAAGAAGGGCCTTTTTAACTCCAAGACAAAATACAACGTCCTTTTTAATCCGCATTTCCATTCGCTACATCTCATACAGTAAGAACACAAACGAGAGAGAGCAACATACAGAGTCCAGTCACTGAGCATATACTGTAGAGAGCAACTTCCCAACAAAAACACAAAGTCCACTATGTTCCCGGAGCTGTCTTTGTGGAGGAAGTCTTTGATCTCTCAAACGCGTAGGGACATGCAGTGAAATTGCTCGAGAGAGAACACAGTGTGTACAACTCTGCTTGCAGACAGCTGCTAATTCACAGTTAGGTTTGAAAAATGCACACAAGGTACTGATCTTGTAAGTAGCTCGATTAATATTATCTCTACTGTACGTCTTTAAGATACCATAACACGTAGTGTTACAGAGCTCAATGTAAGACAGCGGTACTTATCAGATGTAAAAATAAATGACGTGACATATCAATATTCACAAAAACTATTGGAATCGATTTCACAATATCTACAAATTATAATATACACAACTTGGTAACACTATTCTGAGCAATTAGAATTGTTGCCATTTAGTTTATAATAATTTATTCAGTTTCTCTATTTGTCTACGGATCTCTACTCATCAAGAGATTTGCGTCAATGCTGTAGAGGTTATGTCGTATAAAACATATAATATTTAATGCTGTACTGAATAGCATAAATATATTCCTATAGTAATATACTCTTAATATACTATGTTATATGATGACATGTTTCTGCTGATGTTAACTCTGGCCCTGTGAGGAAAAGATTTACCACATGAATCACACAATCCTAATCCAACCTATGTGGCAACAATAGTAGAGTCCTGTTTATCAAACCCCATCAGGAATGATGACAGATGTTAAAAAAATCCTGAATTACCACAAACTCTGGACCTAATATGCCAGTTGTACATGCATATTCTTCAAACTATTATTGTTTAATAACACTTTCTTCTTTTAAAGTCCATCAATCAGCTCTTATTTTTGCAGCTTTTGCATGTTTTGTTTGCTATGGCTATCTGAGCAGTTTGGATGATTGAGATTCGACTGTAGATTCTACTTCAGCTGCAGAGTGCAGAGGTTGTGGTTGTGGTAGTCTGGAAGTGTTTTTTCCCCCTTTTTTTGCGACACACAGACACAAGATACACTATGTGAATAAAAAAGGTAATCCTGCATGTTGTGCTCGGCAAATATTCATTTTAAACAATTTTGACCAATCACGAAATGGTCAAAGTGGTCGTCTGACACAAAGACTTAATAAACAGAATGATTGGGTATGGATTACATTCAAGAGTAATTTCACAAATGAAACAGACAAACTAAACAAATCTGCTGAATGATGTACCCACTTGTTTGCCTTTCTATAAATATTTTGGTCTTATAACGTTTAAGGGGCACATTGCCAAGAATTGTTTAAACATGTAAAAGTATTTATTATATGTAATGAGTTACCCACAAAAATAATTTTCAATGTGGATGGGATGAAATTGGATTATTTTCAACTAACTATGAAATTGCCATGTGAATGTGTATTTGGTCACGACATTATGCATGATACAGATCATGTCAGGCACGCGAGAATATTGGTGATATTTCTGACTGAGAAGGTTGTGTCACTCAGACAATGACTGTCTTTGAGGCAAGTCATTTCACAAAGGCTATTCAAATACTCGGCGTCTGCTGCTTCTCATAACTGCTTACCTACGGTACCTCGATCACATTACTCAGAGGAATCATGCATAAACATTAGCGCTGTGTGTCATCAGATCCTGAATTAGCAGCAGCCAGCAGACTGGATACACCCTCAGCTGATGTGTATCATGAATCAGTTTGTTTGAGACGGAATGATAAAAATCACATCTGAAAAAGAGACGGTGCCTCGCAGTAACAGTATATCAATTCATGAAGTATATTTGATTTAAAAGCTACACTGTCACAAGTATGTCTGTTTTTTTCCTATGGTGTGGTAATTATGAATTCCTCACCAATCTCATCCAGAGTTTATAGTGCCATGATTTAGCATGGCAGTCTAGTCATTGTTTGAGTTTTGAATGTGTATTGTTTGAATATGGCAATAGTTAACCAGGAGATATTCAGTCAGGCTGAAGTGAACAGTGTGTCCTCTAAGGTCTCTATGGTCCACATGCATGTGGGATGAAGACTGTGTGTTTTGAATGGATGTAATGGTTAAGTGATTCTGTCCTCGACAATGGATAATTCATGTCAAATAAAAGAAGAGTGGAGTAGGTGAGACAGAAGCAAACTACCACAACATTGAATCACAATAAACTGAATAAAAAATTGGATCTATTGTTCATCCTCTTTTAAAATCTAGTTTTAAAGAATAACAAATGACAGAATAATTATCCTTCATTTTGTTATATCTAAGCTGGACCTGAAATTATTAGTTGGAAATGTGATCTGAATGTGTATGAAGGTGGGAACTAAATGAAGAACTGCAGTTTGTGAGGCAATGCATCTTCCAAACTTGTAAGCAAACGGGCTTCTCTTTTCCTCATTTTGTATTTTAATGTTTGTAACAGAGATGGATGTAGAGCCAGCTCGGTGTGTGTGTGTATGTGTGTATTAGTACACTGAATTAAACCTAAAATCTGTGTGCTACCAATTGAGGGTAAAAACACTTTCAGAACTCTGTGCCAGCCGTAAATTATTAGCATCACATCAATATGCACAAATAATTGGAGTTTAAGTGTGTTTATGCAGATGTTGCTGAGGTTATGAGCAGGTAATTGATGAGTAACTGGGATGAACCACAGAAACATTGATACTAAGCCCTATTTCAGTGTGACAAACACCATTATTGGAGGTTGCAGACATACACGTGTACAGATTGTCATGCATTAACCTATGACCGATACATTGTACATGTTTTGTGTTATTAACACCTTTTTAAAGAGGCCACAACACAGTTCACTCATTCTCCTATTCTTACCACTGAAAATAACGTTTAAAGAGATCCACTGCATGTTGGCGTCTCAAGTACAGTCTATACTTCAGCTAATGCAAAATATCCAGAGTGCATCCGGCAAAAAAGCAACAGAAATTGCTTTAGAATCATATAACATCTGTATAAACACGTACCAAATTCAACACGTAACAAAAATACAGATGTCACTTAACAAACGGAAAACAAAAGTTGGAGACAGCCACCACAGCTGGAGACAAATCTGATTTGCAACTTTGAAAGCATCACTTGCTGAAAAATAGTTTGCTCTTCAGTGTGATCACAACAATTAAATGAAGTTTATTATTTTATTGTTGATAGATCAGGCAGTCTTTTTCTTATGGATTTTGGCAGCATTTTGCAGTTTAATGGTCTCCAGTGATGATAGCGTCTCCGACATTTGTTATAAGTATTATATGACTGTGACATATTGGACTTTGTTGTCTACTTCAAAACACAAAAACAGTACAGCATATGTAGACAATCAAATTAACACCAATATACTTTACACAATCAAGTATAAAAGGGCAAAAATACTACATGAATCAAAATCTTGCTTATGAGGAGGCAGAAATCATAATGGAGCCAAAAACAGCTACAGTGACCGATGCAGAGAAAACAAAGAAATACAATATACTTAACGAGTGTCTAGTATATAAAACATCTAGTGTTATTTGCATTTCCATGGAAAACATGTAATAAACTGCGTTTCAGAATTGGACTTCAGTCTGAGGTAATGGTGGTAGTTAGTTTGGACTGCTCGGCTCATGGAGATGCCGCACCATGAGCCAAAACATAAATGCACATGATAATTGTTCTGGACTACGCTGGATCCTTTACTCTCTTGCTTCATTTTTTTCTCACGGTCAGAGAGGTCTGGTAACCTTCCACTCTAATGAGCAATTTTACACTGGGTGCTCATGCCCATGGGCCGTGGGGTGGGTGGGGCACAGCCACATACTGCGGTGCACGGAGCCTGTGGACACCAGTTTGCATGTAATATACACACAGACCATTCTGCATATGTGTGCTGTAAATGCAAGTGTGGGCGTGTCAAAGCCTTTTTCCTTTTATCATGTGTGTATTCACCAAGGCACATAGCTTCTCTGTCATTGAACATACTCAGCCAGTTAAAACAATAACAGCCACTGGACTATAAAATGTACAGGCAGCCCCATGGGACGCGAAAAGCAATTCCAGATGATACTGCATTGGGTCTGTTGAGATTCAGCGCGAGCTGAAGGCCAGACACTGACGATTATTAATGATGTTCCTATGGAACTATACAGGCTGCCCTCGGCTAACTGGGCACAGTAAAGCAACCGACGAATGCCGCACTGTGCGTCTGTGTGCGTGCGTGCATGCATGTTAACGCGATGGATGTGTCAAAACCTTATCATTGGTAATGAGCTACAATGAAAACTTCAAAGGCATGCTTGCTCTAACTTATTATAAGCAAAGCGCAAACATGTCAAAACATAGTGAAAACACAATTTGACTACTCTACAAAACGGCAAGCAATCAAGATACAGCAAAGGAACACTTGGTTACTCACAACAGGGAACAGGGCCAGAGCTAAGTGTGGAGGGGAGAAAAGAAATGCTACACAAACACAGTCTGATGTAAGAATCTGCTCCCTCCAAGGTCCACTATTATATGTGAATCTACTGTATGTTAACATTTGCCTTCCATCTATACAGACGTGCAAAATATCAAAAAACAGACACGCGAAAACGCGCGCGCACACATACACACACA